AGCCCTGGGCAGGTGGGCCTGTGTTGCATAAGAAAGAAGGCTGAGCAGGGGCCAGGAGAGCAAGCCAGTAAACAGTGTTCCTCCATGGTCTGTGCTTCAGCTCCTGCCTCCAGGTTCCTGCCCTGAGTTGCTACCTTGGGCTCCCTGATGAACTGTGACCTAGGAGATGTAAGCCAAATAAACCCTTTCCTCCGCAAGCTGATATTGATCAGTGTTTTGTCACAGCAATTGAAGGCAAAGTAGAACAATATAAATGAGCTTTTCACCAATATAGCTTTTCCTCCTAGGAAAAGTCACCTGATACGGTGACCCAATAGCATTTCCAAATGATACAGAGAAAGGAAAACTATGAAAAGATGCAATTATGCCATTCCCAAGTGTGTTCAGGAAAATACACTAAACTGTGCAGTACCCTACAACACATGTAGCCCTAGAGCATACACTGTGATCCACATATACCCTGGAATATGTAACTATAACTGAGGGTAAATAATTCATAACTCATAGTTTATCTAGGGCTCACAGTCCCTCTAAGTTACACATCATAAAGCAAACCACAACAATAATACTGTGCTCTAATAGTCCCTTCAATGTTTGACCTTCAAACTTAAAAATGGCCTAAAAAAATATATACCTAAGAGATAAGCTGTTCTACAGGATTTATGAATGTCACAATGTCCCTTGGTTACTTATTAACTACATGCATAGGAGCCAAATATCTTTTCGTCCTGGGCTAAGTGTAAGGATGTGGACTATGAAATGCACTGCAAGCAACTGTTCTTCCATCACAGGGTGGGTGAGCTCTGTCACTGGGTCACTATTGGATCAGGCTTCCCCTAGGGCACCAGATCCATAAATGACCATGGTACAAGTAATGATAATAACAATAACTAATATGTCCAAAGTTAATTAAATTCCTAAGTACAGGCATCTCTTTTATTATCCTAAATAATACTATGAGATAAATGTGCAGTGCAGTGTATGACATGTAGAGAGTATTCTAGAATAACATTACTATTACAGATGAGAAAACTAAAACTAAAGAGGTAACTAATCAGGTAAAGGCAGAATTTAATCTTGAGCCTGAGTGAGGATATAGCTCAGCTGGTAGAGTGCTCTATCACTACCAAATCTAGCACATTCAAAACCTTGGATTCGATCCTCAGCACTCAATTCAACTCAACTCAAATATTGAGTTTGGTAAGCCTGGTGGTACAAATCTTTAATCCCAGCACTCTGGAGGCAAAGGCCAGAGCATATCTGTGAGTTCAAGGCCAGTGTAGTCTACATAGTGAGCTCCAGGCCAGTCAGAGCTACGTAGTGAGACCTTGTCTCAAAAAATCAAACAGAGGCTAGAGAGGTGGCTCAACAGTTAAGAGTACTGGCTGCTCTTGAAGAGGACCAGGGTTCAGTTCCTAGCACCTACATAACAGCAACAATCTAACTCCGGTTCCAAGAGATCCATTGCCCTCTTCTGGCCTACACCAGTATCGCACATACATGGTACCAATACTTGCACCCTAACAGTCAAATAAATAAATAAATAAATAAATTTTTAAAACAAAAAAACAATAAACACACAAAGCAAAACAAATCCTGAGCCTGTCTCCTGTTCTTAGCCACCATTCCATTCACCTCCCTCACACCAAAAAGTAGGAAGGAGGTTAACTAAGGTAACAGGACACAGTAACACAAACAGAATGGCAGTCTTACAGTCCCAATTACAGGGTATTCAAATAAGAGCTACGAGAAAGCCACTTCTACCTAATATAAAAGCCAAAAACTATGTACTTTGGGTGGTGAGGAAAAAGGGCAAGAGAGAGACCAGGATGAGCAAAACCAACACAACAACAAATCTACATCACATACTGGAACATGTGGATACTGTATCTATACCTAAAAATGTATTGATCATAGCTCAGGGCCAAATCTCCTTCCAAACACAGTCCGAAGGACTGGACTACAGGAATCCTTCACCCTACCCTGTCAGCCAACCCAATTACTATCACCAAATACTCCAAGGACTATTCTGTGTACACCACAGCTTCAGTAAGTGAGACACACAGCTCAAGCAAGATTTTCCTGTATTCTTTCTTTAAAAATTATTTTGATGACAAGGAAACAGAGTTACCTAGACAGCTGGTCAGTTACTGATATGAACTCACAGCAATGGTGACTGTGGCTCAAACTAAACAAAACTCCAGAACAGACATGGGGAAGAAACACCAACCCTACCTGAGAAACTATTGACAACTGATGCCTGCTAGGAGGGGGAGAGTCAGCCTCATTTTAAGAGTGAGACTCTTAGTAGGTCGACCAGGCTCTAGTTAGTAGACTGGACCCACACCAAAGGACATTTGGGGACACAAATTTGACTCTATAAGCCTTAATATATAATATATATGTTATATATATATATACATATATATGTATATATATATATAATTGCCAAGCGTGGTGGCTTTAATCCCAGCACTTGGGATGCAGAGGCAAGCAGAGCTCTGGGAGTTCAAGGCCAGCCTGGTCTAGTGAGTCTAGGCCAGTTGGGGCTACAGGGAGATGTTGTCTCAAAAATAAATAAATAATTAATTGAAATTAAAATACATATGTATATATAATAGAGTACATGAAATTGTGCATGGGGTAGTAAGGGGGTACAGATGGGGGAGTATCTAAATATGATCAAAATATATTGTAGGAAATTCACAAAAATTCAATAAAAATTCTTTGAGTATACAAAACAATGGGTTTCATTATGACAGTTACACATCTATAGTGCTGTGCTTTGCTCACATTCACCCCTATTACCCTCTCTTGTCCAGCCTCTCCCTTGAAGATGACTTTTTTTTTCAGGGCCTGGGATTGAACTCTAAGCATGCCCTATACCACTGAGCTATACCCCCCTTTTCTGAATTCTTATTCTCAAGAGAGTAGCAGTTGTCTATGATGAAATAAAACAAGGGCTCTAAAGGAAAAAGGGAAAATGAAAGCTAAAAATTTCTGACATTTCATTAGCCCTTTGAGAAGATAGCATGTAAACACTAAGGCTAGCCGGACACACACCTTTAATCCCAGCACTCAGGAGGCAGAGGCAGGAGGGTTTCTCCGAGTTTGAATTTCCAGGCCAGCCCAGGCTACAAAGTGAGAGCCCTGTGACAAAAAAACTAAAACAAACAAATTAAGCTCTAAGTCTACTTCAAAATAAATTAATCCTGCAGAGAAAGTCTGGTATGTCTATTTTCAGTATTATGTACACATTCCAAGAAAGATATCATCAGTATTCTTTCCCAGTGTGCTAAGAAGCCCAAGAGGGGGCAAAAAAAAAAAAAATCTAAAAGCATAAAGTCAAGGGACAAAGTCATCTAAGACACAGGCTGGTTTCAAGGTATGGGACCAGAAACTCTGAAGGCTCCTGTACCATCCTACCTCCCCACCCCCCACAGTCCCTTGCTGGAATCTGAGATACCCTTTCTAAGATGCCAGGGAAAAAAACCGCTTTCCCTCAACATTTTAAGTGATCAGCAAATAAACACCTACAACTTAGTGTTTGAATTTCTATGTAAGTAGAACTATAAAATTTCCTAAAACCCTTAATTTACTAACAAGGAGAACAAATATGCTTTGATTAAAATAGCTAATTTCAAACAGTATAGTCAGTCCCATTCAGGAAGTTTAAGATAAACGACAGGTTTTTTTTTTTTTTT